ACCCAGCAAAGCTATCCTTCTGAAATGAAGGACAAATAGTATATTTCTCAGGCAAACAAAAACTGCAGGTGTTCACTACCACACAACCAGCCTTACAAGAAATCCTCAAGGGAGTACTGTGTCTGGTACCTGAAAATCAACCATCACTGCTATGAATACTCAAGAAAGAACAAAACCCACCAGTAAAATAAAAATGCTAACAATAAAGAGAAAAAAGGTTTATCTAGCAACCTAAGAAAACAACAAACACAGAGGACAAACAGTAAATCAGAAAGAAAGGAATAAAAGATACCTAAGACATCCAAACAAAAGTCAGTGAAATGTCAGGAGTAAATCAACACTTTTCAATAATAACTCTTAATGTAAAAGGATTAAATTCTCCACTCAAAAGACACAGATTGACTGCCTGGATTAAAAAGATGGACCCAACACTAATGCTGCCTTCAAGACACTCACCTCACCTGTAAAGACACACATAGACTAAGAGTGAAAGGATGGGAAAAGATATACCATGCAAACAGAAATGAAAAACGAGCTGGAGTAGCAATTCTTATATCGGATAAAATAGACTTTAAACCAAAAACCATAAAAAGAGATAAAGAAGGCCACTATATAATGATAAAAGGATCTATCCATCAAGAAGACATATCATAAATATATACACACCCAACATCGGAGCAGCCAGATTTATAAAGCAAGCACTATTAGACCTAAAGAATGAGATAGACACTAATACCATAATAGCAGGCGACCTGAACACCCCACTCTAAGAACTGGACGGATCATCTAGGAAAGAAATCAACAGAGAAACACAAGATCTAAACAACACTTTAGACCAATTGGACTTGGCAGATATCTACAGAATATTCCACCCAACAACCTCAGAATATTCATTCTTCTCATCACATGGAACATTCTCCAGAACAGACCACGTTAACTCACAAATCAAGTCTCAACAAATTCAAAAAAATTGGAATTATTCCATGTATTTTTTCAGATCACAATGGATTAAAATTAGAAATCAATAACAAATGAAACTATGGAAACCATACAAACACATAGAAATCAAACAACATTCTACTTAATGACATATGGATCCAAGAAGAAATTAAACAGGAAGTCAAAAAATTTCTTGGAACTAATGAAAATAATGACACATCATACCAAAACCTGTGGGATACTACAAAAGCATTACTAAGGGGGGAAATTATTGCATTGGATGCTTACTTCAGAAGAATGGAAAGATGGCAAGTAAACAACTTAACTTTAACTTCACCTTAAAGAAGTAGAAAAGCAAGAACAATCCAAACCCAAAGTTAGTACACTGAAGGAAATAATTAAGATCATTACAGAACTAAATGAAATAGAAACCCCAAAAACAATACAAAAGATCAATGAAACAAAAAGTTGTTTTTTTCAAAAGATAAATACATTGACAAGCCATTAGTAAGGCTAACTAAAAAAGAAGAGAGATGACCCAAATAACAAAAATTAGAAATAAAAATGAAAACTGTGATATTACAACTGATACCTCTGAAATACAAGGAATCATTAAAGACTACTATAAACAACTATATGCCAACAAATTTGAAAATCTGGAGGAAATGGATAAATTTCTGGACACACAAAAACTACCAAAACTGAGCCAAGAAGACATAGAAAATCTGAACAGACCAATAACAATAAAAAAGATTGAGGCTGTTATCAGAAGTCTCCCAACAAAGAAAAGTCCAGGATGGACAGGTTCATTGCAGAATTCTACCAAACCTTCAAAGAAGAATTGATACCAATTCTCTACAAACTATTCCAAAGATTGAAACAGAAGCCATTCTCCCAAACTCATTCTATGAGTCAAACGCCACCCTGATACCAAAACCAGACAAAAATACCATAAAAAAAGAAAACTACAGGCCAATACTGTTGATGAATATAGATGCAAAAATCCTCAATAAAACACTAGCTAACAAAATACAACAATACATATACAAAATTATACACCATGATCAAGTGGGATTCATCCCAGGGATGCAAGGTTGTTTCAACATATGCAAATCAATAAATGTGATACACCACATGAACAAAATCAAAGACAAAAACCATATGATCATCTCTATACAACGAAAAAGCATTTGGCAAAATTCAACACTTGTTCATGATAAAGACTCTCTATAAGTTGGGTATAGACAAAAAGTATCTCAACACAGTTAAAGCCATGTATGACAAACCCACTGCCAATATCATCTATGATAAGCCCACTTTCAGCTTTTCCCTTAAGAACAGGAACTAGACAAGGATGCCCACTCTCACCACTCCTATTCAACATAGTGTTGGAAGTACTAGCCAGAGCGATCACAGAAGAGAAGGAAATAAAGGGCATCCAGATTGGAAAAGATTAAGTCAAACTGTCCCTGTTTGCAGATGATGTGAACCTATATATCGAACAGCCTAAAGACTCTACAAAAAAACTTTCAGAGTTGACAAATGATTTCAGCAAAGTTTCAGGATACAAAATCAACATGCAGAAATCAGTAGCATTTGTATACTACAACACTTAACATGCAGAAAAAGAAATCAAGAAAGCTAGCCCACTCACACTCACAATAGCCATCAAAAAAATAAAATACTTAGGAATAAAGTTAAACAAGGATGTGAAAAATCTGTACAATGAGAACTACAAACCACTGTTGAGAGAAATTAAGGAGCACTCAAGAAGATTGAAAGATATCCCACGCTCTTGGATTGGAAGAATTAACATTGTGAAAATGTCCACACAACCTAAAGTGATCTACAGATTCAATGCAATCCCCATCAAAATTCCAATGACATTTTCCTCAGAAATGAAAAAAACTATCCTAATATTTATATGGAATAACAAAAGACCACAAATAGCCAAAGCAATCCTGAGCAAAAATAAATAAACAAACAAAACAAATAACTAAATAAATAAATAAATAAAGCTGGAGGCATAACACTACTTGACTTTAAAGTATACTACACAGCTCTAATAACCAAAACAGCATGGTATTGGCATAAAAACAGACACACGGATCAATGGAATAGGATAGAGAACCTGGAAATCAACCTATATACCTACAGCCATCTGATCTTTGACAAAGACACCAGGTCTACACACTGGGCAAGAGATTGCCTCTTCAGCAAATGGTGCTGAGAAAACTGGATCTTCATATGTAGGAGAATGAAACTAGACCTGTACCTCTCACCATATACCAAAATCAACTCAAAATGGATTAAAGAATTAAATATATATCTGGAAACAATGAAACTCCTCAAAGAAAACATACAGGAAACACTTCAGGAGGTAGGGTTGGGTACAGACCTCATGAATTCAACCCCAAAAGCACAGGCAACCAAAGGAAAAATAAACAAATGGGATTATATCAAACTAAAAAGCTTTTGCACAGCAAAGGAAACAATCAACAGAGTGAAAAGACAACCAACAGAGTGGGAGAAAATGTTTGCAAAATATACATCTGAGACAGGATTAGTAACCAGAGCATACAAGGAAATCAAGCAACTTTACAGCAAAAAACCAAATAACCCAATTAAAAAATGAGCAAAGGAGCTGAATAGGCATTTCTCAAAGGAAGGTATACAAACGGCCAACAGACTCATGAAAAAATGCTCAGTATCACTCAGCATTCAAGAAATGCAAATCAAAACTACTCTGAGATACCAACTCATTCCAGTTAGGATGGCTAATATCCAAAAGACAGAATGATAAATGCTGGTGCGGTTGTGGAGAAAAAGGAACTCTCATACACTGTTGGTGGGACTGCAAAATGGTGCAGCCTTTATGGAAAATGGTATGGAGGTTCCTTAAACAATTACAAATAGATCTACCATATGACCCAGCTATCCCACTGCTGGAAATATACCTAGCAGAATGGAAATCATCATGTTGAAGGGATACCTGTACTCCATGTTTATTGCAACACTATGTAGAATAGCCAAGAGTTGGAACCAGTCCAAATGTCCATCATCAGATGAGTGGATAAGGAAACTGTGGTATATCTACACAATGGAATACTACTCTGCTATAAAAAAAAGAATGAAATACTGCCATTTGCAACGACATTGATGGACCTAGATAGAATTATATTAAGTGAAACAAGTCAGACACAGAAAGAGAAATATCACATGTTCTCACTTATTTGTGGGAGCTAAAAATAAATATACAAACAAACAAATGGTGGGGGGTGGAAGAAGACACAATGATCACAACAATTCCTTGAACTTGTTAAGTCCAAGTGAACAGATATGATGCTGATGGGGGGAGGGGAGGAGGGAGGGGAGTAAGAAGAATTGATAAAGGGACACGAAAATCAACTACATTGTATATCGATAAATTAAAATAAAATAAATTAAAGTTTTTAGAATTAAAAAATAAATAAATAAAAAATAAAATAAAATGGAGATAATAATAGAACCTAAATCAGAGCTGCTATGAGGACTAATTTATATAAAACATGTAAAGTAGCTCGAACAGTGCCTGGCAATAGTAAACACTATGTAAGTGTTCAAATTTGGTATTAGTATTACTGGGTAAGAAAATCAAAGTAGAAAAAGATTAAATAAATTGACATGGGTTTAAGAATTAGTCACTAATTTATTCCAGAATGAAAATGAAAGCTTTTGATTCACAGGAAAGGATTTTCATGAGACCACACTGTTTCACAAGCCAACTTTCTGACCAAGGTAAAACCTTGAGGTAATACTTGAGGTAATACTTAGGTCTGAAAAGCAAACTCTCCCGAACCTGAGTGCTGGCTGTCCTCACACCACCCCTCGGCTGAGGCACGGGTGTCACCAGAACCTGGGCTGACATTTACTGGCCTCTCCTCATGGAGAAGGACACACCCAGTGGACAAACAGCTCCAGTTTACATGCTCAGCCATCGATAAGATGTCAGTCCTGGAACAGAATAAATGACCCGAGGCTCTTGCGTCTGCCCTGGTGAGGTGCCTGCTGCTTTCACTTACGTTCTTTAAATATCAGCCAACCCCTGGTGCGTTGCACTTCCACCTTAGAAAATCAGCTCCTTCACTGCAGTGCAAACAGTTCCCGTTCCTGGCATCCTGAGGGAGACGCAAAGTTTCCCAGGCTGGAGGGAGCCAGGCCAATCTCCACAGTGTGAAGTGAGACAGCTAGAAATCAGAAAAAGCCCTGGCATGTTAGCTTGCGGGTGCTTTTTATCTATTTCAATTCTTATATAAGGATCCCAGGAGATTGGATAACTGGTTTTAGTGCAGATTATAGTTTTTAGATAGGGGGAAACAGAATGACATACACAGAAAGCATGCTTTTTTAAAAGAATTAAATGCACGCAACAATTCAAGCCTCACTTGCTCCACACCTAGCATAGAGACAAGCGCAGTCCTTCCCATAAGACGCCGCACACAACCATGCGGGGTTATTTGGTTGTTCTAAAACAGTCCAGAGTACCTCTCACAACCATCACCTAACTACTTCTCCTCTGAGGAAATGAGATGGGGAGATCCCACTGGGCAAAATTAAAATCCGTATAGCAAAAAACCCAGGTGAACTGATGTCTGACTAGTCTAGGAATAAATATGCTGCGTAAAACAATGTGTGCAAAAAGTAGCACAAAGACAAATGGGCCCCCCAGTATCATCTCTGCATCATGCTGACATTGTACCCACAGTTCCCATTACCATTGGGTTGAGCAAGCAAATCAGGAAGAAGTGCCCAAACCCTGTATCTCAACAGGTTAATAAAAACACCTATGTTCTATTTTAAAATTCATTAACATTTGTGATTTTAGAATTTCTTCATCATAAATGCAATTAGTGCAATACACTGGGATCAAGTATACGGTATCTAAAGGAAGGAACAGGAACTTTTGGTCCAGTGACATCACCTGTTGTAACTTACTGCCCAATTATAGTAGTCAAATCAAAAATTACATGTCTTATGGAAACAGAGGAATCAGAATCTATTTTATCCAGCCTCTTCATGGAAAACAGGAGGAAACTGAGGCTTGGAGAGTTTACACAGTGTACTCGAGGGTGCATCCTACTACGAACTGAAGCTAGATCTCTGCTTATTTCATACAAGAAAGACCGGAGTACAAGAAAATAACTTCAGTTCTTAGCACTGCTTCCAGCTGACAGCAGGAGTAAGCTGTCTGTCAACCACTTGGTGGTCTGGTCACTACGTGTAAGATTACCCCATTGTATTGCTGAGATTGAGAGTAGAGATCATGCACTAGTTTTAGCAAAGTCTTGCTTACCAGATGGTTAACACCAGGAAGTGTTGTTGACCCCAATTCTTCCTTCACCATCAGTGTAGCACAAAACATCAATGTCACATGTTGGTGACAGCTGTTGACCACGCTGGTGAGTGAATTTCACCATTCAGGGTAATGCCCTCCTCTGCTCTACCTGGCAGCAAGACTCTCCACCTACTGTGATTTTCTCTGACTGTGGCTTACTCAGAACAGGCAGAAACCGCAGAACAATGACAAATCAAATGGGGGAGGGGTGCGGGGGGGACACAAAATCATAAAAGAACATTTGCTAACATGCTGGCTGAAATATCACTCCAATTAATTGATGGGACCACCCACTGGTGACACTTACTCATGATAGAATGTTTTGAATTTGGATCAAAGGGTAGAACAGGGAAGAATGAGGAACGCGTAGATGAGAGCGTGGTCCTATTTCTTGCTGGAATGAAAACTGCCACTCAATGTCCCTCACATGGTTTTGTCACTGCAGTGTGCCCTAATGAATTAAGACTTTCCTATTTCAAAACCCTCATTTAATTTACAAGAAAAAAAACACATACATTCATCATGACAATTTATTTTAGCAATAAACCATCATATGCCAACAAACTTACTGAAATAAGGATAAAATAAAAAGGAAAAATATCATAAGTGGACATTTTTAGCCTCATTAAAAACCAAATTAAAAAAAAATTGGTCCTGCCTTATTAAAATTCAGTTTCCACTCATCTTACTGTAAGTCTTTAGATTTTCAAGTGAAAATATAATTTTAAAGTTCATAATATAAATGTTAGCAAAAAGGAAATGTATATGCTTTTAATATTATGTGGAAATAGGCATTACTCCCTAAAATGTGAACGTATCCATTTTCTGATGTGAGCAGTCTTCCTAGGTGGTCTGATGACCACTACTACCCGGTTTTAGGTGCGCTCTCTCTCTCCAGGACTAACCTAGGGGTAGACCAACTGGGAGCACCTGGTTTCTAAGTATGCCTGAGATGATGATGAGGTGACGGTTCAAGAGCCATAAACCAACTGCTGAGAATGCGGCTGTTGTGCACACATGCCACGTGCCCACTGGGCTACCCACACCAGTTTCTCTTTGTGAACTTATTTCAGATATTGGAAAAATGAAATGCATAGGGAAAAGCAAACTGCTTGTACTTGCTATGTGTTCATAACTAAATGGTCACAGAATGCAGAATGATTAGCTTTTGGGATGGAATAATTTGTGCCCAAATTAAGAGTAGAAAAAGGTAAACATGTTGCAGAAAAAAAAAGAAAGGGTTTCACCTATGGACAGCTGAAATGGGCACAGCATGTCGAAAAAGAGGTGACCTTCAAATGAGGAGGCTGACTCAAACTGCTGCCAGAGGGCAGTGTCAGAGGCAGCTCTGAAATTCCTGCGGCACTTTCCACGGCCCAACACACAGGCCTGGTTCCCAATACAGCCTGTCAAACAGACATCGTCTTTTCAATGACTGTTTCAAAAATTGTGAGAAAAATACTAGTGCTTGAAATTTCAAGACCATGTAAACTTTGGGATCCCATATTTAAAGACATTTTCTAGGCAGATGGTAAGAAGCTTAAAAGGGAAGGAAAGGGCCGCGGAGCTGGTGACGAAGGCCTCCTTGGCCACCGCACACGCTTGTGGTGCTTCAGGGTGGCCTCTATGCCTGCCTCTGCCAACCAGCAGAGAGCCGAACAGGCATTGGACACATCGCATTCACTATCAGGGGAATGAGTTCCTCTTCCAGTCTAAGAAAGGCTGATCGAAGATAGCTCTTTGCCTTTTTAGCATGACCCAAACACAGGAGGTTCTCAGATTGCGGATGACTCAGCTCAGGGGGGCCAGCCAGGCGGGGCCTGGGCAGGGGCGGCCTCAGTCTGATCCTGGGCAGGGGTGGCCTCAGCCTGTTCCCAGGCGAGGCAGCCATATGAGCAGAACTTCCCCAGATGGACCTGGGAAATGCCCTCCCATAGACTTATCATAGCAGCACTCATATGCCTGCCTTAGCTTCCTCAGGAAATTTCTGTTGAAAAAACCTTGCTGGCCTACTTGAATGCTAAATTCATAAAATATAAGATCAGATAACAACTCTGGCAGATTAACCACATGCTTCTCAAAGACAAGGGCCATGATTTTCCAGCACAGCACTGTGGATGCCCAGTGTACGTCTGTTACGTGAGCCATGAGCAACCAGCTCCCAAATGCCACTCTCGTCTCCTGCAGTCCCCAATGGAGCGAGGCTCTCCCTTACTGGGGTGGGGATAGGGGCTGATCACTTTTAATATGATTTGATGCACTTGTCACTTTTCAAAAGTATTTTAGTTACATGAAGAGTGCCTATATTAAGAATAAATATAGAAGAAGATATTTTTGTTGCATTCTTATAAATATGTTAAATGAAGGCAATTGTAAAATGATCTCTATTTTCTTCTCTGTAAAATCAAGATGTTGAATCTGCAACATCTCTACCTCAAACACTTCATGATTTCATATGCAAAATACGACAAGGTTCTTTTTTTTTTTGTCTTTTTTCGTGTCCGGCAACGGATCGCAACCCTCAGAGTCACGTCCGTACGGGACCGGGACCGGCAACGGGATCGCAACCCTCGGCGCTGCTCCCACACCTCGCTCAGCCAGTGAGCGGGAACCGGTCTGTATGTGGGTTCCGAACCCACGGCGGGAGCGCCACCGCGCTCCCAAGCGGAGCACTGTAGCAGTGCGCCACTNATCTCTACCTCAAACACTTCATGATTTCATATGCAAAATACGACAAGGTTCTTTTTTTTTTTGTCTTTTTTCGTGTCCGGCAACGGATCGCAACCCTCAGAGTCACGTCCGTACGGGACCGGGACCGGCAACGGGATCGCAACCCTCGGCGCTGCTCCCACACCTCGCTCAGCCAGTGAGCGGGAACCGGTCTGTATGTGGGATCCGAACCCTCGGCGGGAGCGCCACCGCGCTCCCAAGCGGCGCACTGTAGCAGTGCGCCACTGGGCCGGCCTGACAAGGTTCTGAACAAAGAGAACAGTCATCAAAGATGGTCCCAGTCTGATGGTAAGGAGGGATGGCAGCTTTGTCACCTGATCCAGAGGGATTTAATATCTAAGTGAAAAAAGGCTACCACGCATTTATATGTCATCAGCAATCTTTTAGAGAGAGAAGGACAACATGCTTTCTCAATAGGTGCAAGTATACCCCTGGTAGCATCTTTGGAAGATTAAGAAACAAAAACTGGGTGAGCTACTAAGCAGAACAATCTAGAATTCATTTGGTCCAGTACACCCTGCATTTGAAACCCAGACAGTCCCTGCTTGTGTCATGCTTTGGTGATGCCTATCTGTTCAGTTGACAGACTCCAAAGAAAGAAGAGCAGCCTCAGAGATGAAAAGCTAACTGCAATGGGTGCAGGGAGAGAGGGACATCAGGATACCAAGATGTGGTGGCCTGGACAACAGTGAGAGAGAGAGAAAAGAAAGGGTTGTTTTCTAATTCTAACTAACTAAGGAAACAAACCAGAAAACTTTGCCAAAGACAGTACTCACTGAAAGGGATGCCACTAAAAAATTTAAACAGATTGTAAACCGTACCTGTTAAAATAGACCTTCGTCACTACCAGAGTGTGCACCTTAAATTGAAAACATTTTATATCAATAAAATAAACAAATTTCCTTTTAGAGAAGGCAAGTGGAATTATACATTTGTGTACCAAAACCTGAAAAAACTAAAAGTACTGTTTTTAAAAAAAGAATCTTTCAGATCCTCATAAAGGCCAGCTGCCCCCCCACCAAAAAAAACTATGTAACAATAAGAATTCATTTACCTTGCAAGCTTTGTAGAAGGTTAATTTTTTTGTGTGAAAAAAAAAATTTAACATATTTCTACCTTAATGTCACTAATACATGAAAAGCCTATCAATACATTCATGGTCTCAAAAAATTTGAAAAACCAAAACATACCATCAGATGTTTTTCTCCTTCAACCAAACAGTGGAGCAAGATAAACAATAATAATAATGAGTGTAATTTGATATCAATCAGACAAACTTAGACTAGGATCATCTAAGTTTATATTGTAGAAATTTAAAAAATCAGTACACTTGGAGAACTTGGAGAAGAAAAATTCAAATTCTTAGGATTTGAAGAACTGTATATTACTACGTATTAAAATATTCTCAAACTTAAATAGTTTGCTCTTTGTTGGTACTTAGGTCAGATCAATACCAAAAGAGAATAAGGAGGCAAACTCAACAAGAGCTGAAATCAAACGTTTCTGGCAGGCGGGGAGGTTGTTGGGGGGTGGCGGGTGTGTCTCACTAATCTACCCCATTCGGATCAGCAACTTAACTACTCCTGGTTTCCAGAAACTATCACTTGGCAAATTCTGAGAGGTAGCTGTATTATTCCGACTTTAATCTTAGGACAAAACTATCTGCATCCACGTAATAAAGTAAAATTTTTAAAGTTATGTTTCCAGAAACTATCACTTGGCAAATTCTGAGAGGTAGCTGTATTATTCCGACTTTAATCTCAGGACAAAACTATCTGCATCCACGTAATAAAGTAAAAATTTTAAAGTTACGCAAATTTACTTAAAAAAATCATAATGAAAAGTGGCGGAGGTGTACTGTTGGGAAGAACTTAGCAAGTTTGGTTTTAGATTTCTAGCATAAGACGATAAGTCTCGATTTCAAACAGAATCTAAAACCTCTGGCTGGGCTTGGTTCTTTTCTGAGAAATACAAACAGTCCTGTGGAAATTCAACCATAACACTGTTCCCTGCCAGAATAGAGCGATGTTAACAGAGGCAGAATATTTTCTTTCCAAATCAGCTGGGAAAAGATGTAGCAAAAGGCACTAATAAAACCACTCTAAGAGGTGGATTTAAGTCAATATCAGAGATGTGCCACCATGGATTCCAACAGAGTAGCGACTACTCCCTCCCTCAGTGTGTAACCTACGCAGGGGTCTCCCAGAATACAAGTCACAACAGCAGAAATGCAAGGGTAGTGGCCTCATTGCACAAGGCTAGTTACTGCTGTTAGGGAGAATTCTCACCAGGACCTCCAAAGAGGTTCCGGACACTGCACAGAGCAAGGCCACTGCAGAGTCCCTGCAAGAGCAGGGACAGACTGGGCCTTGTGCAAGGAAGCAGGAGGAAGCAGGGAGGGAGGACAGAAAAAAGAAGAGACAGACTCTAGCTCATCAGCATCCTAAATTAGGCTGGAACAAAGAACTAGTATCACT